CCAAGGTGTATTCTGCTACATTTGTGGGGTAAAAATAACCCAAAACAGTTTATATTATTTTTTTCTGCGTGAAAGCTATAGAGTCTACAAACTATGGGATATATATTTGAAAACTATCAGTTGAGATCCTAAAGTGCCAGATGCTGGTATGGCGTATGGTAGTGATCAGTTCGCTGGCATGCAGTATGGTGATGATCAGGGCATTTGCATGAGGTATGGCGGTGATCAGGACGCTGGTATGGCAGTAGCCATGACACTGTTATGGGGTAGGGGGGTGATCAGGATGCTGGTATGGGGTATGACTGTGATCAGGATGCTGGTATAGGGTATGGCGGTGATGAGAACACTGCTATGGGGCATGGTAGTGATCAGAACGCTGGTATATGGGGTATGGTGGTGATCAAGACACTGGTATGGGGTAGGGGGGTGATCAGGATGCTGGTATGGGGTATGACTGTGATCAAGATGCTGGTATAGGGTATGGCGGTGATGAGAACACTGCTATGGGGTATGGTAGTGATCAGAACGCTGGTATATGGGGTATGGTGGTGATCAGGACACTGGTATGGGGTATGGTGGTGATCAGGACACTGGTATGGGTATGGCGGTGATCAGGACGCTGGTATGGCATATTGGGTGATCAGGATGCTGGTATGGTGTATGGAGGTGATCAGGGCACTGTTATTGTGTATGGAGGTGATCAGGGCACTGATATGGTGCATGGAGGTGAGATCCTAAAATGCCAGACGCTGGTATGGTGTATGGTAGTGATCAGTTCGCTGGTATGCAGTATGGTGATGATCAGGGCATTTGCATGAGGTATGGCGGTGATCAGGACGCTGGTATGGCAGTAGCCAGGACGCTGTTATGGGGTAGGGGGGTGATCAGGATGCTGGTATGGGGTATGACTGTGATCAAGATGCTGGTATAGGGTATGGCGGTGATGAGAACACTGCTATGGGGGTATGGTAGTGATCAGAATGCTGGTATATGGGGGTATGGTGGTGATCAGAATGCTGGTATATGGGGTATGGTGGTGATCAGAACGCTGGTATATGGGGTATGGTGATGATCAGGACACTGGTATGGGGTATGGTGATGATCAGGACACTGGTATGGGGTATGGTGGTGATCAGGACACTGGTATGAGGTATGGCGGTGATCAGGACGCTGGTATGGCATATTGGGTGATCAGGATGCTGGTATGGTGTATGGAGGTGATCAGGGCACTGGTATTGTGTATGGAGTGTGATCAGGGCACTGATATGGTGCATGGAGGTGATCAGGGCTCAGGGTATGGTGTATCAAGGTGATCAGGGTGCTGGTATGAAGGTGAACAGGGCACTGGTATGGGGTATGAAGGTGATCAGGGCGCTGGTATGGTGTATGGAGGTGATCAGGGTGCAGGGTATGGTGTATTGAGGTAATCAGGGGCGCAGTACATGGGGTATGGAGATGAACAGGGCACTGGTACGGGGTATGGAGGTGAACAGGGCGCTGGTATGGTAGGTGGAGGTGAACAGGGTGCTGGTATGGTGTATGGAGGTGATCAGGGCACAGGGTATGGTGTATGGAGGTGAACAGGGCGCTGGCTTGGTGTATGGAGGTAATCAGGGCACAGGGTATGGTGTATTGAGGTGATCAGGGTGCTTTTATGGCATATGGCGGTGATCAGGGTGTTGGTTTGGGGTATGGTGGTGATCAGGATATTAGTACAGTGTAAGGGGGTGTTTTGTGTGCACTGGGACAGGTGACGGGCTGGCTGCATTATTTATTATGAGCATTGTGGGGCAGTGATCAGGGACACGGGCACTAAATACGGGTACTGGGGTGGCTGGCACTGCACTGTGCGGCTCAGTGTGTGATTGATCACAGCAGGTCACATGGTACTGGAAACGGGGCCGGTACATAGATCTGTCATCGGCCGTGTCCGAGGTACACGGCCGGTGACAGATCACGCCGCAGTGCGGCCCTGCGGGCATGTGCACTACGTATGCCTGAAAGGACGCCATATGGCGTCCACCCGGAGGGACGAGCTGCTCGTCCGGCCACCATCTGGATATAGGCCAGGCGACAACTGGCTAATGGTACCTAAAAACGCAGTGTGGTTCACATGAGAAATCATGCTGCAATGGCAGCAAATTGCATCACACAAAGCATGGCACCCAAAAAGAAACTCCTGCCCCTTTTTTTGGTGACCAGCTTCACGCAATGCAGTTTGCCGCAATTGTAGTGTGATTTATCGTGCGAGGACTGTTCTTACACGTTTTACTTCATGAATATTAGCCATCCACAGTAGATGCCATATTTCTGCATTAAAGCTTTTCCTTCTGGCACAGTATAAAATATGCGTATACTTTTGTCCATCATGCTCAGTCAGCATGGCAATGATGTGGGTATTTATGTGTCACATTATAGATAACATCTGCATTGTTTTGCTGCCACAAGACCTATAAATAAGTCTGATGTGCACAAACCAATTGTTATGACAGTCTACCCTCATATGTAAACTTTACCAGCATATTAATTAAGGTCACAAGCAAAGAACTGTCTGACAAAGGATGTGGCTACCATCCTTGTACACACATTGGTTTGGTGTATGACCCGAGACTGTGTCATGTTGTGCAGGAAAATCCAGCAATTAGGTGAATGTATCATTCACTCACAGATTCAAGGTATATGACTAAGACATGGATCATAACCAAATTAAACATGTCTAATTATGATGTTCAGATTTAATTTCAAGCGCTCTGTGTTCTTTAGCTTCTGCTGAGCTGTAACCTATAACTTTTGTTATGTTTTAACTGTTTATATGCAGCATTAAATCACACCAGGGGTCTACAAACTGCAGCCCAAGGGCTGGATATGGCCCTTTGCTACCCTTTATCCGACCCTTGGGGCACTATTCCTCCCACTGAGACCAACAATGGAGCAGCACTTCTTTCATTGAAACCAGTGATGGTATACTATTCCCACTAATACCAATGATAGGGCACTACTCCTCCTACTGGCTATCAACCCTGAGGCCATGATTATTCTCTCTGAAGCTGGGGGCAAGACATTTTCTATCCTCCCCGGCTCTAATCCGGCTCTCCTAAAGTCTGAAGGACCTCATAATGGCCCTTTGCTTGAAAAGTTTGGAGACCCTTGAATCACACAATTGGAGGAATTCACATGAAGTGGGAGAGCTCACTTTATATACAGCACACATAGCCATAGTCCTTTACCCAAAAAAATATGCTTGAACTACTGTGTCACAGGTATTGTTTCGTTAGGATTCATTTTTCGGACTAAAATTCATTTTTGGAGATTTGGATGTATCTGAATTTCCAAATGAACATAGCAACTAATGACAACAAATGTGAAAAAAAGTTATAATGAAAAATAATGCATTTGTTTATTTGCTTCATTCTGATGCCGTCACATTCTGGAATTTGTTTAACATTCAAATTAATTGTGACTAATGGTTGTTGTTAAGGAGCAGGCAGCCGCTGCATCCTTAACCTCATGTCGACCGTGCTGAAGTCAAAAGATGGCTACAGTGCAGTTTTCGCTTGTTTAGCAAAAATTAAATAGTGGTAATTAAATACCACCGAAAGAAAGTTCTATCTGTCTCAAAAAAATGAAAATAATTTAGATTGGGTACAGTGCTACATGAGCGTACAATTGTCATTCAAAGTGTGACAGCGCTGAAAGCTGAAAATTGGCCTGGGCAGGAAGGGGGTGAAAGTGCCCAGTACTGAAGTGGTTAACCACCATGCCTCACCTGAAGTCAGCAGGATATAAACAAAACAAGTAACGGTTAAACAAAAAAAATGTGGAGGTTCCCACGCCCCATCAGCCCTTTGGGTTTGGTATGAATCTTGAGGGGAACCCCATGGCAGCATTTTTTTTAAAAAATGGCATGGGGTACCCCCAAAATCCATACCAGACCATTGGGTTCAGCTATTATTCGCAATGAATTCTGATCCATCCAAAAAAGAATAAAGACTTATTGAATCTGTTCAAACCCACCCGGTATAACGAATACGCAAAATGAATCCCAAAAATAAAACGGAGTGACACAATGAAAACGCATAAGCAAAATGTCTACCTAACGAATATATCAAAAACAAAGCAAAAATGAAAATTTCCAGTGTGCACATGTCTAACTTAAAGGTTAACAGAAACCTGAGTCCCGTTTCCTGTTGCCGGGATGTCTTGTAATATTCTTATTTACACATGCCTATTCATGTTTTCATGTAACAATATGGTTTTAAGAGGATGTTAATTTCACAAACATCTAATACTTCTGATTACAGTGGGTGTGAATAAGAACTTTATTCATATGCAAAGTGATAAGTAAATGCCAGGGTGCCAACATACCTAGAACTTACTACAATAGAACACAGAGTATACTGAGGGACTTTTTAGGCACAAAGTACCACATGAACATCAATGATTAAAAATATTATTTATGAAAGCATCGTGATTAAAAGCATCTTGTTATAAAACATGGCTGACATTCTTATTACAACTGGTCACCCAATTCACTCCCCTTGTCCCCACATCATAGTCAATATGTCCATGAATCAGTAGAGTGAAGTTCCATATGGGAACTGCCCTACATTACTGATCAGCACAACACAGTGCTAAAAATACTAAAATCCAGATCCAAAATTAGACCCAGCAAAGACTGGTGACCACAATACTTCTCATCCAAAATTTATATTGGAAAGCAATCCTAGTCAGAAAACCCAGGGGTTGTTTTCAGGTGGCCACAGAGAGAGACAGATTCCTTGTAGAGACCCAAGAAACACCAAAACCTAATGATTGCTGTAACAATAAAAATATTGTCTTACAAGCATCATGTTGTTTCCTGCAAGGGAAGTACCGTATTTTTCGCTCCATAAGGAGCACTTTTTTCCCAAAAAGAAATGGGGGGGGAAATAGTCAGGGCCCAAAGCAGCTGCCCCTTAAAATGGAGTTCCAGATGAAAAAAAAAGTCAGTAGCTACAAAAACTGTAGCTGCTGACTTTTAAAATACAGACACTTACCTGTTCCTCAGTCCAGCAGTGCCCTCACCACCACTGGTTTCACAGGCCATCTTATCTCCCTGGCGCTGGTATCTTTAGTGTGGGCTTGCAGCTTCACAGATGGGTGCCCACTGTGTATGCACAAGAAGTGCTGTGCTTTGTGAATGGCCCTGTAGTCTTCTGGGACCTCCACTTCTGAACGCCTAGGCGATCACAGCGGACATGGGCGCGGGTACCTGTCAAATTCGGGTACCCGTTCCCCAAAGTTCTGCAGTCTCTGGTCATCTCCTGTACTATGTCCCCAGTCTCTGGTCATCCCCTGTACTGTGTCTGCAGTCTCTGGTCATCCCCTGTACTGTGTCTGCAGTCTCTGGTCATCTCCTGTACTACGTCCGCAGTCTCTGGTCATCCCCTGTACTATGTCCACAGTCTCTGGTCATCCCCTGTACTATGTCCGCAGTCTCTGGTCATCCCCTGTACTGTGTCCCCAGTCTCTGGTCATCCCCTGTACTGTGTCCCCAGTCTCTGGTCATCCCCTGTACTGTGTCTGCAGTCTCTGGTCATCCCCTGTACTGTGTTTGCAGTCTCTGGTCATCTCCAGTAGTATGTCTGCAGTCTCTGGTCATCCCCTGCACTGTGTCCCCAGTCTCTGGTCATCCCCTGTACTGTGTCTGCAGTCTCTGGTCATCTCCTGTACTGTGTTTACAGTCTCTGGTCATCCCCTGTACTGTGTACGCAGTCTCTGGTCATCTCCTGTACTGTGTCCGCAGTCTCTGGTCATCCCCTGTACTGTGTCCGCAGTCTCTGGTCATCTCCTGTACTATGTCCGCAGTTTCTGGTCATCTCCTGTACTATGTCTGCAGTCTCTGGTCATCTCCAGTAGTATGTCTGCAGTCTCTGGTCATCTCTAGTATTATGTCTGCAGTCTCTGGTTATCTCCTGTACTATGTCTGCAGTCTCTGGTCATCTCTAGTACTATGTCTGCAGTCTCTGGTCATCTCCTGTACTGTGTCCGCAGTCTCTGGTCATCTCCTGTACTGTGTCCGCAGTCTCTGGTCATCTCCTGTAGTACATCCGCAGTCTCTGATCATTTCCTGTACTATGTCTGCAGTCTCCGGTAATCTCCTGTACTATGTCCGCAGTCTCTGGTCATTTCCTGTACTATGTCTGCAGTCCATTGGTTCAGAATATTTTTTTTCTTGTTTTCCTCCTCTAAAACCTAGGTGCGTCTTATGGTTAGGTGAGTCTTATGGAGCACAAAATATGGTACTTATACAACCATGCTCAAATTAAATGCAGACATCATTGCATTACATCCTATAGTGGAAAGTACTTATGCGATCATACTTAGCAGGTGTGAAATTTGGATTTTCACACTTGTGTTAGGACGCATCTAATTGAATTAAAATTATTAATTTAAATGGTAAGTATAAGCGACTTACTTATTAGTGAGTCTGTTCATTTGCGAAACGCAATTCAGTTTTTTGTTAAAACGTGACATGCACATACATTATATACATAAAGCTCAAGCTTTGCATACCTAAAATCTTAAAAGACAACTACGCCGAATGAACCACAAAAATCTAACATGTTATTTTAATACAATAATTATCTTTTAAAGATACCCTGTCACTAGATGATTCATTTGAAGATTATATATTCATGGCCTCCCTTGTGAAGATATTCGAAAGCCCTGAGACTACTGCTGAAAGCCACCATCTTGTCTGTAATGTCAGCAGACTTAAGTGACACACTATAGTATTCCCAGTCACTCCTCCTCTGGCTGCTATGTAAAGGTTATGGAGGTAGATGAGGAGAGAAGGAGCTGCCAGAACAGAGAGTAATTAAACCAGAAGAGAAGAGGGCAATGGCTTGTAATGAAGGAGGGGGCTGTACTTGGGAATTTCCTCTTCTGAAGCAGTCAGATTTGCTAGCAAGTTCAGAAGTACATTGCAAATACATAAATTGATTATGGAAAGGAAAACACGGCAGGTAAGCATTTAAAATACTTGATTTTTCTGTGTTTTTATCTGTGATTTTTTTTTTTTTTTAAATTAGTGACAGGATCTTCCTAAATGACCTCCTATGGAAAAATTTGTATGCTGATAAATGTATGCAGTAAGTACATTCAGAATATAAAATCCCATTTGAATTGTACATGCCTTCATTTGTATTTTCCCTACCCTGCACATCAAGTTGTTCAGGTGAAATAAACATAATGGTTTGAGAGAAACTATATCACAGCCAGAGTGTTTGAGCAGTTTATATTACAGAAGTATTAAAGCACGTGTTTCAAAGGTAACCATTGTAAACCCCCAGGCAGTATTATAGTTTGTGTCAACCTCTGTCACTTTTGCTGATTAGCTTGGGCAAATGTGATTAAAAATATAAATATTATTAAAGGTGTGGGAAAATAAAAATAAAGGAATTACTACAGCAAATCCTACTAACTACATACTGTCATTAGAATACAATAAATCTCACAATAGCAGTCATTTCATATTTTATTTTTACTAAAATCATTGTTTTCACAGCTATATTATATTCAGTTTCTGGGCAGCTGAAAAAACAAAATACTGGTACAATTTAGGTTCTGTTCACTGTGTACATTCTAGATGCTTTGCATATGCCCTGTATTAGGAAAAGTTCTGCTTTCCTTAACTTTGCAAAACATATTTTACATAGAGTTCAATGGCGATGTATGTATAATACACTTGAAGAGCACTAGGCACCTATAATGCATGGCACCTAAAACACACCAAAGTGCTCAGGTCTTAACCTCCCTAGCGGTCTGTTTATGTCCATATTTCTGTGCTCAAAGCGGTACATTTTTTTGCATGGAATTATGTATTTTTTTATTGTAGGCCTGTAATTTTTAGGAATAACTCACTGAAATCTGTCCAAACGAGAGTCTAGTAAACATCCCGGGTATGATAAAACTTGAAACACAAAATCATAAATTATAATTTAATAAATAATCATAAAAAAAATAATATAATAATAATAAATTTAATTCAATAATATAATCAAACCAAAAACACTGAAATTTGAAATATAGCGCCAAGTTCTCACCTTATTGAGCAAAGTCGCAAAATTGTTTTCAGTGTCTGATGATGAATTTCCCCACGAATCATTATCACTCAATTCTGCAAGTGGTTCTGATTTACTATTGCTGTTCTCTAGCTGGTCTAAAAATGCTTTTGACCTAAAGGGACGCTTTTTGGACGCCATGGACATTTCTCAGTTTCCAGGCAGAAAGAACAGTAAAAATGCAGGCAGGGCACAGGACAAAACACTCGGGACAAAATGTATGTAAAATGGTTTGATACAGTAATTTTTTACTATGTCATTTTAGTGAATGTCACTTTTTGTCATTTTTAAATTTCCCGCCGTTCCATCCCCCATACGTCTCGACGCTCGCAGGGGACGGAATCCAGATGACAGATGCCGGCATCTGCCGGATTACATTGCCGGGGACACTGCAGGAGGAACATCGCGGGAGCGCAGGACAAGGTAAGTGATCGAGGGATCACTGAGCAACGCCGCATGGTAAGCCCGAGTGTAGCTTGGGGTTACCGCTTGTGGTACTGAAACTTTACTCCGAGCTACACTCGGGAATACCGCCGGGGAGGTTAACAAGGTTTTATTCTTTTCTTACAGTCAAGACTAGAAAATGAAACCTGCTATATTCAGTGGAATTACCAAAACGTCATGCACCATTATAATTACAAATTGTCAGGAGTGGGATGTACCACATTAACTAAGCAGAGATACCCATTTCAGACCTATCTGAGTCACCTGCATCAGTTTCTATTTGGAGCAAAATAGAAACCAGCACAGATCTGCATCTAATACAGTATGTTGCATCAGTTTTCCATATAGGAAACTGCCTCAGACTCCCACCAGGTCTAACCTGTCATATTGGACATGAACTATCAGCAGACAGCTCACACCCCCTCTCTACTCGTGCAGTGATTACACTACATGAGCAGAGCCTGCAGAGTTAACAACCCTCCTCCTCCCTTCCACTCTGAGCAGAGTGGGGAAATGAGGATGGCAGGGAGGTCAGAGCATGCATCTCCAGCTCTTATGTTCTATGTGCTGTGTCTGTCAGACTCAGAAGAGCAGAGAACTGAGCTCCTAATTTACAAAGGAGTTTGGTAATTAGGAGAAGCCTGTTAGGAATGGACTGGCCAGCAATGGTGGGGACTCACCTGCCTTTTGATCTGCAGTACCAGGGCTGGCCAGCGGGTGCTCCCAGCAATCAAAGACTCAACCTTTCAGCCAGCTAACACCTGGAACTGATGATACTGGGGTATTTAAGGGATGGCCAGACTTGCAGACTCTGCCTTGGTGTTGTGTTTGTCCTGGGCCCTGTATCTGTCCTGCATCCTGTTTCTGTTCCTTTGCTGACTTCTCCTGCTCTGATCCTGGCTTGTGACCCTGACCATCCTTCTGTCTGACCCTCTGTACTACGCTGCTTGCTACCTGCTGAACCTGGCCTGTGACCCCGACCATTCTCTGCTTGCTCCCCTGTACCTACCTGCCCATTGATATTGACCCGGCCTGCCTGACGACGCTTGCTTGTATATACTGTTATCTGTGGGTGGTTTGGTTTGGTTTGTTTGCACTGTGTTATGTTTTAGTATTGCACTGCGTTTATGTTTGTATTGTTAGTGTTAATAAATTGTATTGTTTATCACATATCTGAAGTCTGCGTTTCCCTGCATCAGTCACACACCTCTGGTCATACCTGGGAGCCCTGACAAAGCCTTTGCTCCATTCTTTTTTTCTTTTTTCTTTTTTTCTTTTTTTTTTTTAATTTAGAAGAGTGATGAAAGCATGGTGCTAATGCCTCCCATTGTTTTTAATACTTGCAATAGTAATGTATCACTTGCAGTAGCATTACCTATACTATTTTCTGTTACTTTTTTTTTTTTTAACCTCCCTAGCGGTCTGATTATGCCCATATTTCTGTGCTCAAAGCGGTACATTTTTTTGCATGGAAAAATGTATTTTTTTATTGTAGGCCTTATATTAGGAATAACTCACTGAAATCTGTCCGAACAAGAGTCTAGTAAACATCCCGGGTAGGATAAAACTTGAAACACAAAATCATAAATTATAATTTAATAAATAATCATAAAAAATAATAATATAATAAATTTAATTCAATAATATAATCAAACCAAAAACACTGAAATTTGAAATATAGCGCCAAGTTCGCAGATCACTGAGCAAAGTCGCAAAATCGTTTTCAGTGTCTGATGACGAATTTCCCCACAAATCATTATCACTCAATTCTGCAAGTGGTTCTAATTTACTATCGCTGTTCTCTAGCTGGTCTAAATCCGCTTTTGACCTAAAGGGACGCTTTTTGGACACCATGGACATTTCTTAGTTTCCAGGCAGGAAGAACAGTAAAAAATGCAGGCAGGGCACAGGACAAAGCACTAGGGACAAAATGTATGTGAAATGGTTTGATACAGTAATGTTTTACTATGTGATTTTAGTGAATGTCACTTTTTGTCATTTTCAAATTTCCCGCCGTTCCATCCCCCGTATGTCCTGACGCTCGCAGGGGACAGAACCCAGATGACAGATGCTGGCATCCGCCGGATTAGATTGCCTGGGACACTGCAGGAGGGACATTGTGGGAGCGCAACTGCATGGTAAGCACGAGTGTAGCTCGGGGTTACCGCTTGTGGTACTGAAACTTTACCCCGAGCTACAGTCGGGAATAAAGCCAGGGAGGCTACATTGCAGCTGAATAGAAAGTTAACTG